ATTCCCTGATTCTCAGTTTTAGTATTTTCTCCTGGATTTTCCTTGTACCACATTCATTTGTCTATTTGTAATAGTAGTCCCACCACACACACATACACAAACTCTTTGGGGAAATGCATTGTCCATGACTGCCTATCATCCCCAGCACTTAGCACCTACTAGAGCCTTGTATCTAGTACTTAAAAATATTTGTTGAACAAAACTTTTCTGAGCCATCAGCCCCATTTTGGCTTTGTCTCCTTGCCTGGCCTGGTCCTCAGATTAGACATTTCACCAAAATTCTCCCTTGAACATAAGGATTTCTTATTGCCAATCACTAACCCTAAACATAGCACCCAGCATGGGTAGGGAATTGTTTAAAACAAAAGCAAGAGTAAGAAAGGAGAGAGGGATAGGAAGAAATTCCAATACAATTGAAACGATCTGGGCCCAGAGCTGGTCTCATCCACTCTCCCTTGTCATCCTCCAGGTCTGTACTACCAGGTTGGTTCTGAATCATACTTGCCTTTCCAGGTAAGAGGAGGGATACTGCACCTCTGGCTTAAACTGAAAAAATGCTTCCCTTAGTCTTACTTTGGAACACCAGAAGTGACCATCTGTGAATGCCCCTGGATGATAAAATCCCAGTTCTAATTGAACTTGTTTCTTCTCAACCTACCTATTTCTCGAGCTAGGATAACACTACTGAGGCGTATTGGTTGGGTAGATTCAGCAATAAGCACAGCTCTTTGGGAACACAAGGTGCTGTTTTCGTACAAAGGCTCAACGGTGACTGCATCATGATGGCTAGAATGCCTGCCAGAACAAAGAACTTGGAGTATGAAAAAATGAACTAGTATAGAGTTGCTTTTACCCTCCCCTACAAAAAAAATACTCAGTCCTTTTCCAATTCATAAAGTATCCCATGTATTAGTACCTAATGAAGAATGCTCATCTCCTAAGGGCACATACTATAATGCAGGGCTTGAACAAGTTCTTTTTTTAAAGGTCTGTTTGCCAAAAATCTCTGAAGTAAATGTCAATCTTTCCCTAAACTTATAAAATCGAATATAAAACTTGTATCTTTATTTTGGGCAGACTGTGTCTCCTCACAGAAGCTGGGACTTGAAGAAGTCCAGATCCGGGTTCACCTAACCACTTAGTATGCTAAAAAGCCAAGTTCCATTGCATTCTGTCAACCCAAGAATCATTAAACCATAGGGCCAAGTCTCTTTGTATATATACTTCAGACTCTGGGAAGGGGCCTCTCATATAAAAGGAAGTAGAGAAAGAAAGAAAGAAAGGGTGCTCACATTTTAGGAAGGGCCTCTTTCCTCCCAGAGACTGAAAGTGCTCACCCCAGCCAGCAAAAGTCAGTTCCCTTATGGGTCTTTCACACTTCTGAGGGGTGACTGTGAAGAAGCTCATTTTCTAGGAGAACCAGCTTTTCACTCTTGGTGGGAGGTGGGGGTGTTGATGAAGCTCGTTTTTAGATGAGTCCTACCCTTCCCCAAAGCTAGGAGGGCCCTTGGGGCCTATGGCCACGTGGTCCTGTGGGCCTTTCACTCTTGGTGGGAGGTGGGGGTGCTGATGAAGCTTATTTTTAGATGGGTACTACCCTTCCCCAAAGCTAGGAGGGCCCTTGGGGCCTATAGCCACGTGGTCCTGTGGGCCTTTCACTCTTGGTGGGAGGTGGGGGTGCTGATGAAGCTTATTTTTAGATGGGTCCTACCCTTCCCCAAAGCTAGGAGGGCCCTTGGGGCCTATAGCAGAATGGCCCTTTAGGCCTTTCCTGCTCTGGGGGACCAAGAGCTGGGATTGGGATGGGGGAGGTAGCTCACGTCCCAGTAAGTGACCCCTTTTGCAAAGGCCGGGGCGCACTCATCCCAGCCCCGCCCTGCCCTCTGGGCCATTCGCGGGGGCTGCAGCGGAGGCTTCTGCAAGACAGAAGGGCTCCTTCCCAAAGCAAGGAGCAACAATCCCGCTCGGGCCTGGTTCCGTTCGTTTGTGGGGTCGCCGCGCTCGATGAGCCCTCGAGCCCCCGGGGGGCCGCCCCTGCGGTCCCAAAGGCTGGGGCCCCTCACCAGGTGTAGCAGCCCCGTTGGGCCTCCAGCAGGAATGGCACCCGGCCAGGCTCTCGGCCGAAGGGCAGCAGCACCTTAGGAACGTTGAGCTTGTTGGCCCGGGATCCGAGAACGCTCAGCAGCAGCAGCTTTAGAGGCAGGGGCAGGGGTGGCCCCAAGAAGCGCCTCAAGCCTCCGGCCCCTCGGACTCCAGGCCTCCTCATGGCGGCCCAGGCTCCCGCTCAACCACCGGCCACGCCCCGCCTCACAACAGCCAATGGGCGGGAGGAGGGGCGGGGCCTCGGCGCGCGGGGAGGGCGGGGCCAGGCGTAATTCAGGCAAAAACCGCTGGAAGATTCGCCCCACCCCCAACTCATGCTGAAAGTAACGGAGCAGGGACTAGAGGCGAGATGAGCTTCGTGGACTAGTTAAACTTGCTTTGTAAATTCACCTCCAGAAAGACGATTCTCCAACCAGTTAGCCCGCCCCTAGTTAGTAGTAATTTAGCAAAAGAAGGCCCCTCCCCCTCGGCGTGGCACCACTTACTCCCCAGGGATAGAAACTAACCTGGAGGCAGAAGGCGAGCACGTGACGTGCGATTAGATACAATCTGAGCTGGAAAAGACCTTCATCTTTTGGGAAAGATCATCTAGTCCCAGCTCAGTTTTATAGGAAATTAAAGCCCAGAGGGGTGACTTGCTTGAGGTTACTCAGTAGGCACACAATTCGAACCCAGGGCTTCTGATTCCAAATTTCTCCCCGCCCCAGTTTCCGAACGTCTTCATAAGAGTTGCATTAGAACCAGGACGAATGGATAGTATAAACAGCTTAATTTTATCTGGAGCCTCTTTTATGCACCGACTATTCCCTCCTTTACTCCAGTCTCTGACGAGCACGCCGCTTCTCCTTACAAAAGCCAATTCTTTGTACTCCTGACCCACTCCTGTTTTCTTCGTCTAATTGTTTCAGCAATCATTCATTTTATTCTTTCTTTGATCTTCAATCTCGTTAGACCAGAGGTTCTTAACCTGAGTTTGTGAATGATAGGTAGGTAGATAGAAACTGTATTACAATATACTTGTTTTCTTTTGTAATTCTATGCACTTTATTTTATGCATTTAGAAACATTATTCTGAGAAAGGGTGCATAGACTTCATTGCCAAATGAGTTAATAGCCAACAAAGTTTCAAGAACTCCTGCTGTCCTCAGTCAGCAAGCATGTATTAAGCACGGTGACAGGTTAGGCACAACACCCATAGGTGTCCCTCACCTTAAAAAAAAATGCCCCAAAGCCAAAAATTTCTTTAACTTTTATCATCCCTTTATAGTCCCATGTCTTTCTTCCCTTTCACAGCCAGAGGGCGGATAAAAGGGGAAAAGCAGTCCACATTCCTTGCTTCCATTCTTCACTCATTTCCACCAGGCTTCCTCTATCATCACTCAAATGAACCCCTCCTCCCCCACTTTCCCTGCAAATTGCCAGATCTGATGGCCTCTTCCAAATTCTCACTTCTCTGTATGTGATGCTGATCACCCCTATTCTTTCCTTCTGTATACTCACCTGGATCACATGAAAAATTTTCCAATGTTCACGACTTGTTTGTTCTCCCACCTTTCTGACATCTCCTCAGTCTCCTTTGCCAATGATATATTATCATTGATGCTCTACTCTCAGTGAGTACCCCAAGGGCTATCAATGGTGTGGGACCCTCCTCTCTCTGGAGCTTCAGACCTCATGTCCTATCCTTTCAATAGTCTTCAAATGGATCAAATGAGCTATGTGTAAAGGGCTGCGCACAGTGCCTAGCACATAGTAGGCACTTAATGGTTGCCCTCCTTTCATTCTCCTATGACACTCTCCTATTTCTGCCTTTTTGCACAGGTCTGTCCTCCATGCTTGGAATGTATTCCTTCATCCTTTTAAGTCTCTGGGCTCCATCAAAGCTCAGCTCAAACACCATCTACATTTCCTTAACTCCCCAACTGTTAATGCCTCCCTCTCTGCCCCCAAATTACCCTGTATGTCATTTCCTCAAACCAGTAAAATCTAAGTTCCTTGAAAACAGATTATTTCATTTTTGTCTCCAGTACTAGACTCATGTAGTATCCAGAAGAGGCCTCAAAAAAAAAAAAGACCCCAAGTTAGAGTTGGGTTAAAGTCCTGTTTCTGGCACATACTGGCCTATTCTGGATGGCCCCAGGCAAGTCTATGGACACTTCAAGAATTTAAGTTGCTGGGGCAGCTACGTGGTGCAGTGGATAGAGCACTGGCTTTGGAGTCAGGAGGACCTGAGTTCAAATTCAGCCTCAGACACATGACACTCACTAGATGTGTGACTCTGGGCAAGTCACTTAACCCCAATTACCTCAGCAAAAAAAAAAAAAAAGAATTTAAGTTGCTAAGAAGGTGCTTAGGTCCCATACCAACAAGAACATGGATCTAGATCACTAGTCATATCACCTAGGGTGATGGCTGGCATAGAATAGATTTTGAATGTTGAATGAAGTCAAAATCTCTAATTTGCAGGTGAGTATCTTAAAGATGAGTTTGAGATCCATCCTCTCTTCAAACTGGCTGAAATACAGGGCAGAGTATAGGTTACTGCTGTTTCTAAAAGACAAAGAAATGGCCTAACTGCAAGTCATCAGATTTGGAACTTCTCCAGAGTCAGAGTAAAAACCAAAACTTGCGAGACAAAAATTGGACGACTTCAAGCCCCATAGAGGTTAACAGACAGTCACTACACTATCTGCCCAAGGCCAATTAGATGGGATCCTGCCTTCCCTATGCCTGTCCCCTTGCCTATAAAAGGTGAATGATCCTGGCTGAACCCACCTCACAGGATTATCAAAGGTCAAGTGAGAATGCAAGTAAATTACCAGAAGGCATCTCTGTTATTACTGTGGCTTTCGGGGAAGAGAGCATGGTCAGGTTAATAAATGAGAAGCAAGCAGTTCTGAGGGTGGAGGGACTGGTTCTTTATTTCAAAACACATTGTCAATTTTCAGTATCAAAACACTTGCACTATTGGTTCCTCTTTCTCCAGATTGGCTCCCAAATAGACCACACCAAAGGAGAGTACATTTAAGCCAATAAGCTGCACGATGCAAACCTAACACAGACCTCACAGAAACCTCAACCCCCCCCCCAAAAAAAGAAAAAAAAAGGAATTAAAAAAGATCAGCACACTGGCAGCTCATGGACTGCAGACAGAGAGCACTCACAGCCAGATGGGGTGGAGGTGGGGTGCAGGTGGTCCTAGTGCTCCCACCTGAGAGAAATAAAGCTGTCAAAAATAATACATATAAAATTAAAAAAAAGTTTTGTACACAAGCTATTCAAGATTTCTCCAGCACTGAGTGATACAAAGCACAATGAGATGGCACTTTTAGAGGCAGCAGCTTCAGACCCAGGAACGGGTAATGAGATGAATTCACTTGGCTAATCAGTGGCACAAAAAAAACGTTATTTTTCAAAGAAGGTGAAGTGGGGACAGGAGGAGACACCCCAACTTCTGGGGCACATGATCCATTCTGTGAGTGAATGAGGAGAGGGAGGACAATTTGGTCTCAGAGAGGTCTTGTCTGTGTAATTTGCTTGTTTGCTACTGATGTAAATGTTTAAGAGATAAAAAAGGAAAAGAAAGAAAAAAACCCACGATACGTTAAAGCTGAAAACCTGAACAGCACTCTTTTCTGGCAAACTCCTCCTGGAATGACCTTTCTGGTTTGGCTGCTTCGTGGTACAGACCATCAAGGTTTCCCTTGGTGGAGTCTTTTCTTGGGCTATGTTCAGCTCTCAGTAGGGCATGCTAACACCTCTTTCCTTCTTCTAAGGAGAAGGGGCATTGTTTAGGTAGAAAGATTTGCCATCCAAAAGGAAGAAAAGTGATTACATGCAGCCTAAGGGGAGCTGGGGAATTATCTGGAATGTCTTACAAATGGTTGCTACAACAACAAAAAAGGTAATTACAAAATGTATACATCATACAACATGCTTTTAAAGACACTATTGCATTGTGCTCATGTTCCCTTAAATGTTGTTCCCAAAAGTGCTCAGCCCTTAGTCCATGTGAGATCTCTAGGGTAGAGCTGCAGACAGTTTTGGTGAAATTGACATGGGGAGTTGGAGGTAGGGGTGGGGTGGGGAGAGGGTAAGCAAGGACCCAGAGAAGAAAGCAGCCTTCGGGTTAAAGGTCAGCTTCAGGCAGGCTGGTCTCCAGCAAAGTCAGAGTCAGTGGAAGGAGCAGCGACAGGGTGGGGCTGGGGGAAAGGCGTTTCTACATCTCATTCAGGTCAAGCAGAGTCTGGTCCAGCATCCTTTGTGTGCAGAGGTGCTCCTCTTTGGTGCATTTCAGTTTATCTAATGGGAGCAAAGGGAAAGAGGTTACAATGGCTGGGAACAAAACTCCAAGCCCGTCCACACTCAGACATGCTCCCTACAGATGGGCGGCTACCGAATCTTACAGACCCGGAAGCAAGCTGCTGTTGCCTCACTTGGCTTTGCAGGCCTTTGTAGGCCTTTGCCTCCTGAAGCTACAGGTGTTGCTGTACTTCCTGTGGGAGGGAGTGTAGTCTTGTTATTTCTTAACCTTACAACCTCCACCCAAGCTCACACTACAGTTACAAATGTGACCCTATTCACCTCTGTGGTGAGCAAACCAAAAGACTGGGTGGCTGAAGTAATAGTGCCAAGTAGAGGAAACTTCAGGTTTCCTCTGAAGGAGGAAAAAACAGTATGTTCCAACCGAAAGGATACTGGGTCTGGAGACAGAAGTCCTAGGTTCAAACTCCCCCTCTATAACTTACTGCCTGTGCAACCTTAAGCAAGTCTCCTCATTTGAGCTGGACTAGATGGTCTCACTGTGGTACTATGAGCCAGGATGAGGGCATTTCCAGTAGCAGGAATGTACTTGACATTCCTGCTAAACAGAAGATCACCAAAGGTGAGGCTACAAAGGCTAAACTGCTCTCCAAAGCAGAGTAGAACAATGGGTAAGAATCACGAGAATAGGGGCAGCTAGGTGGTGCAGCAGATAGGGCACTGGCCCTGGATTCAGGAGGACCTTCAAATCCAGCCTCAGACACATAACACTTACTAGCTGGTGTGACCCTGGGCAAGTCACTTAATCCCACTGCCTAGTGCAAAACAAAACAAAAAAAAAAAAAGAAAAAGAAAAAGAAAAAAGGAATCACGACAATGCTTCCATGAAAACTAGGCTCAGCAGGCTAAAAGATCTCTGAACAAAAGGAATACCATACCTCCCACCACCAAACTTTGCTGAAGTATCATGCAGGCCTGGCCTATGACTGAGTCAGTTATACTGAAGCACGTAACACAGGGAAAGGTGCTCTAGGAAACAAGATCAAGAGGGACCAAAACTTGGCCAAGCCTCAAGAAGACTCCAACCCACCAAGCGAACCACCCTCCAGGTTTCTTCAGTTAAAAGCACAGAGTAATATCCTCACATGTCCCAACACAAGGTCATGACAGCTGAGAGTCAGGACAACCCCCATCCTTTTTCCCAATCCAATTTCTTTGCCCTTTCTCACCCCAGCCAGAACCAGCCCAGGCCTGGGCCTATAGATGAAGCATAGCTACACCATACAATCAATTCAGTCCTTTTATTGTTATAAACCATCCATGCAAAAGGAACACATCCTACAATCAGCGTACAGGTAAAGGAACAGCTAGGATTTAAGGGGAGAACAGATATCAAGGAGATGAATTCTCCTGGACTTACTGACCTCCCAATTTTTAGTTTCATTTGGAGTCAATGTCCACCCTGCCCCCTACAAATTCGTGTAAAAAGGGTAAGGAATGTCTGTATTGATTCCTTCGGATTTATACAGCCATGGAAAGGTTACCTTTTTTAAAAGGGTTATTTTTCTTCTTCAAGTATTAGAGGCAGCTAGATGGCACAGTAGATAGGGCACTGGACCTGGAGTCAGGAAGACCTGAATTCAAATCAGCCTCAGATATTTACTAGCTACGTGACCCTAGGCAAGTCACTTAAACCTTCAACTGCCTCAGTTTCCTCATCTGTAAAATAGGGATGATAATATCACCTACCTCCCAGGGTTGTTGTAAGCATAAAATCAGATAATATTTGTAAAGTGCTCTGCAAACCTTAAAGCGCTATATAAATGCTAGACATTATTATTTTTCAACTGCCCCAATTAAACAATAGTTTGCTCAGCCAGGGATAAGAGGGGGGGTACTGATCAGCTTTTGCTGGGGTCCAGGCCAATGAACTGTAAGCTTGGTTTAAGGGGCATTAGTGAGCCCCTTCCCGTCAGTCACACAGATCATGCAGCGTTAACTTCAGCTCGTTAGAGAGCAGGCGGTTTCGCTCAAGTTGGCTGTAGAGACGCTCTGCAACAGCGACAGAGGAGGAGAGGGGAACAAGAGGAAGAGAAAGGGAAAGAGGAGGAAAGGAGAGAAAAAAGGGAAAGTTAGTAGAGTATTGGAAGTGAATTGAGTTTTACAACTAGTTGGCATTACACATGCATCAGGGAATCACACTGGATGGGAAAAGGATTTGGACAGAGAATGGTCCAGTCAGCTAGCATCAAACAGTGTGGAAAGATCGTCAGGTGAAGGGGCCAGATCAGCAAAAGAGGAAAGTTAAGACTATGGGAAGATAATTGGACACAACATTTAAAGCAGGAAAACCCTGCACTGCAGCATCCCTAGTGTCAAAGACTGGGGCACACAAGAAGTCGCACAGAATGAGCAAAGAATGGTCCCCTTTGAAAGGCTGGGCTGCATTTCTCATCTACCCACTCTGGTGCCCATCTATCTGCAGGGAGTTTTTAGCCAATTAAGAGGTCAGGTCATCACTGAACTGTTAACCAAAAACCAAACTAGCAACCGAGATGTCAGCCTGTGTGTTTAAAATACACATCCGGATCAGCAGCAGGGAAAGGGAGTTGGGCAAGGAGCAAGTCAACCCTTATCTTGCAGTTCTATAGCTCTGAAGTTTCTTTCGCTTTTTATAACAGTTCCCAGGAATATCTCAGAGCCTTAGTTAATTTAACAAAGTACCAGGTATTTCCCAAATTTAATATGCTTTAGAAGACTAAAACTGTCAGGTTTTTTAAGGGCCTTTCCTTAAACTGTTTTTTTTTTCCTTTTCCTTCCCTCTAAGAAGCCAAGGGAATCCTAGAAGCACAAAGATATCCTTAACAATAGCCACCTCATCCTCTGGCCACAAACCCAATAGTAATTGACCAACCAACCACCGCCTGTACCTCTCAGTGCCAAAAAATAGGAAATTTTCTTCCTTGCTGACAGTAGGAAGCAGCTGGCCTATGGCCCATATCTTCATATACAGCCTCTGATCATACCCTTCAGTATGTAAGTCATTTATCTTCTCCCTACAAGGCGTTATATGTAGATCCTTATTTTATAGAGCCACATCCAAGGGGAAAACAGTTTGACAGAGAGTACGGGAGAAAGGAAGAGAGGAACCTGAAAATCCTGAACATTTCTGTCCTCTTTTTAAAAGGAGTGTTTCTTTTAGGATGGGACTTAGGGGGACTGATTGGTTGTACATCCTATCCACTGGAGGTCACATAAAAACTATACAATCCTGCAATCAATGTCAACAATTCTACAGTTTCCTGCCTGGTTGGCATCAGAAAGAAGGCAGTCTGTATTTGGTAGTGAATGCTATCTTTAATATCCCTATTCCATTCTCACAGAGCACCTACAGTTTTCCCAAATTCTTCAGAAATATCATAGAATCATAGGTCTACATGGTCAGGAAATCCTTAGGCTCCTAGGTCTCAAACTCTAGCCACACCCTACGGAACTTTCATTCCTACTTAGTGAAGCTTCTGAGGCCCATTTGTCATTATACTACCCTTACAAATAAAGATTTAAGCAGTTAGGCAGCATGTATTCCACTTAGGAAGAATAAGAAATTGTAAAAAACTATCAGAGGTGAGTAAGGGCAGAGCAAGTATTTAGGTGTCAGACCAAACCCTAAACTGGCTCTACAGAATGTCTGAGGCCCAAAGTTACACAGAAGGGGATATTCTCACCTTGGACTCTAGGCTCAAAAAAGGTTCATAGATTTTGGAGCTGGAAGGGACCATGGTGGTCCACCTGCTCAACCCTTACTTTACAAATGAAGAAACAGGTTCAGTGAGGTTGACGTATTCAGCCTCAGAGCTAGATCTGAACCCAAGTTAGATATCTGACTTTATGTGGAGTGAGTGTTCCTTCTACTAAGCTACTCCAACAAAAGTGAATTGTTTCAAGTCTCTTCACCAAATTGACCTTATATCCCCTTTCCTCATGCTTTGATAGTTAATAAGGATTTTATGATCAGATACTAGTTCAACAGTTAAAGACACATATTGGTAGGTAGTATGTGTCTTAGTAACACCTGTAAGGAAGGCAAGAAATACACAGCACACATCTGGTCCAATGTTCTTTCTCTAGTTAGCTCTGCCTACTTATGGGTCAATCCATTCACTAAGACACACTTGAGCTGCCATGGGCCCAAAATAGGCTAACTTTCCTTTTACCATAGAGAAGGGGAGACAGGAAGTTATCTCAGCCTTTTAAGATCAGTAAGTAAATATAAATCAGAACTAATTTCTACAAGCCTCAGTTTCCTCATCTCTAAAATGAGGGAGTTAGACTAGATAGCTTCTAAGTATATGATCCTATGATACTAAAATTCACTTACTGGAGAGAGTGGCTCACCAACAGACTGAAGGATTATGCCCTGGGAATAAAAGACTTGGGTGGGGCTAAAACCAAAGATGCTTGAACCACTCTGCTGGTGACATAGGGCTCGGTCATCTTCTGTTCTCCATCACACACCTGACAGGTAGGTGAATGGCTGAATAATTCTCTACCATAACCTCACACTGTCACCCTTCTTTCTGAGCTCAAAGAAAAAAAAAAAGGCCAATTGAATGGTCTAGGACCTAGATTCTAAGTAATTTTAAAATACTATAGTCTTTGCCACTGGAATCAACAAGCAATGAAGGCATTTTAATTCAGTCAGAGGTCTCCCTAATTGAGTAAGAATAGCTTAGTCTTAAGACAGACAAGGATAGGAGATACTGAATAGCAGCTAAAGCTATTGTTTTCCTCAAGATTAAATTCACACTGTTGAAGTTACCACTCCCTGTGATCACCTGTAGCATAGCTAGTATGATGGGCAAAGACTTTTTGGAAAACTTAACCTACAACTCTAACTTCCTTACTTCATTAAGGAAATTAAGGGAAAACTCCAGCTTCCTGCTCCATTCTCTCTCCTTTCCAAGACTGATCCTAGGGGCATTCTCTCTTGCCTCAGCAGCCTGTCAATTAGGTTCATCTCTCACTCTATATTATGTAAATCTCTGTCTTTGTTGTGGTTCTGTGTTGGGTCTCTCTCATCTTAAATAAATCTTGACCCTGTTCCCACGTCCAACTTCAAAAACTGAAGCTATGATCTTCAAGTTGGAAGGATCTCAGAAGCCGTCTGGCCCAACATCTAAGCAAACCAAGAATACACTCTAAAACATTGCTAGTGAGGGTGAATTCTGCCCATTGGCCATAGTCATTTACAGAAGGGCCCACAACTTCCTCCTTTCTTCCTATTAAACAGACTATTCCATCCTTGGACAATTTCTAATTATTAGGAAACTTTTCTTTTCATTGAGAAAAGAATGCGGAGACTTCCTTCTACCTAATCCTAACCTATGGAATGAAAAGAACAATGATTTTTTTTTCCCATGTGACATTTGGAATACTTAAAGCCAGTTATTTATCAGCCTTCTTAAACTGGGGTTCCAAAAAGTGAACAGTCACCATATCCCATTTTATCACTTCCAACTCACTCAGTTCCTTATAACTTGCCTTCTATCCCCAGTACTTACTAAAATTATTCTTGGACAAACTCAATTGTTTTCCTGCAGTCCTTATCCTCAGCTCTGTCCTTTAACACTAGATTAAGACCCTCTCACCCCTTGGGTTCTGTGATACTATACTACCCCAACTCTCCTTTGACTCTTTCCTCCTCTTATACAAACTGAATCCTGTTATTTCCCCCCAAATTCTGTCCTCAGTCTTTAATTCTGTGTTTGTGATTTTGTTTTTATTGACAGCTTCACCTCTATGAAGAGGTAGCTCCAACATCAAGTGCCCTCTATTCATCTATCTACCACAGCATGGCTCTCCTATTTATTAATGTTAATACTATTATTACCATTCTTATCACCTAAGCTCAAAAGCTCAATCTCAGTTTCCTGTCTATACTCCTTTCCTTTCCATTCCCACTTCCATCATCCAAGTTCAGCCCTTTATTAACACTTAAAAAAACTTTCCCAGTGGTCTTTCCCCACCTCATCCTACTTCTCTCTTTCTCTACCTCTAAGCTGTCCTGTTTACAGGTCAGTCTTAACATACCACGCTCTTTGTGGAGTCTGGTAGAAAAAGGGCCAGTCAGATCTGGATTCTAGGTTCTAGTATGGATACATATAAACTATGTGACCCTGAGCAAATAAATCCCTGAACCTAAATTTATCCATCTATAAGAGGTAAATATTTGTACCATCCAACTCTAATGCTACACACGACAATGTCATTGCCTTTCTCAAAAATCCCCAGCTGCTCCCCACTTTCTGTTAACATCCAGACTCCTTAGCATAGCCGGCAAAATCCTCCCCATCTGTGATGTGGCCGCACTGTTATCTTCCCAGTCTTGCCAATGACAATTTAGTTGGAGCAGAGGGATATTGTTTACCTTACCATTCCCCAAATGTGCTTTCCTACCTCCATGCTTTTTATTAGCTTGGAAGGCTTTAACTTATCCTGTTTCTGTGAAAAAATCCTATCCAGTTTCTTCATGAAACTGTCAACTTCAGTCATCAATCTTTCCCACATCTAAACTCCTATAGCAAATTCATTAGCAATCTGATGGCACTATATATTGCTCTCTATGACAAACATGTGAATTTCTTATCCCTCTTGAATTAAAAGGCAGATTTATTTTTATTTTATTGCTGTTTTCTCCTTACCATGATGGATGTTTGATAAAATACTTGCGAAATCAGTAATAATTCCCTGGTTCGTTCTTTCTGAGGCAGAAGAGCAAAGGAAGCACATCTGAAGTTGCTAACTTTTATATTAGACCTAGGTTCCCTTTTGGAATAGAAGCCTGACTTTCTGGGAAAGTAGAGAACAGTCATTCCTAAATAAGATTTCTACTATGGAATTGAAGAGAAACATAAGTGTCTAGAAGTTATGTCTCCTAAATGAGAAACCAATATAGACTGAGAAGGGGGGGTGTCTTCTATTAGAATAGCAGATGTTTGAATTATTAGACTCTTTACTACAAGGGTTGAGAGCTTAGAAGGTGTTTGTGATCTTTTCAATGGAAGTAAAGAACATGATAGAAGACACTCAAGGGTGGAATGGTTTAGAAGCTTGGAGGGATTTACCTTAAAAAGGTCTTTTCAACTTAAAGAAATAGGATCCTCTCAGAATCCACTAAGGACTCTGAACTATTATACCATTCTGGTAGTTCAACAAATCCTTTAAATATCAGGAAAGAATAGGCAAGACACACAAAAGTAGCTTTGATTTCACACATCATTGAGGAAGGAAAACCCACCATGCCTGCTCCCCACACCACACCCCTGAGAAGTCAGTTCCTTCCTTTGGACAGCAACATCTTTGTCAAGAACACAAAAGCTGGGTTGAGTGAGGCATCCAGCAGCTTGGAAATATTTTAATTTGGGGTGGAAAAAGGGGAATGAACACATAATTACTTTGTTAACCCCCCCATCCAATGCCCTGGGGACCAGCCAGGCCCACCCAAATGGAATCCAGGAAGAGCACAGGACGTTGGGAGTGCCGAGAGAAGGATTGTTTCCCCGAGCGGAGGGGGCAGATCCAGAACAGAGCAGAAACGGTGAGAGCTTATCTGTGTGGAGAAGTGAGAATGAAACCCCAGATGAGAGGGGCTTTCAACAGTCAGGGCACACTCAGGAAAGAGAAGTAGTATGGATAAGAAAACAGGAGGCAGGAATTACGGCCAGACTTTTGGCTTCTTTTGAGTTAGTAGAAAGGAGGGAGAAAGTCAGATTAGACTCAAGGATTAGAATCCACAAACAGAAAAAGGCCCTAAACAACTCTCTCTGGTGCTGGTTACTTCCCACTCATTTCTAGGACTCAGCTGGAGTTTTAAAGAACAACAACTTGGTCTTCCCTGGACCCGGATCACAAAGTACTACAATATGTCCATTGTAAGTGACTTTTGCTTTGTAAGGGTGGGCTTCTCGAGTCCAAGCGAGTCATTTACAATTCAGGCTCCAATTTCTTCATGAAACAGAGAAACACCCTAGGCTTAGTTGAGGAGACAAAAAGGCAAGAGACAATGTAACAAACACAGCATGAACAAAAGGTATGTTGTCTACACTTTACAAACAGGACCACTAACCAGTTTGTTAGGACTTGGGGGGAGGTCCCCAATTTTCTCATTGCCTTATCAATGGCCAAACCAGCAACCAGCACCACCTTTATTTTGATACTGAGGGTAAGGGTGGAGATGTTAGTGTTTCCAAAGACAGACATCAAAACACCACAGCACTCTCTGCACACCCTGTCCTCCCAAAGACAAAAGCCCAACCCCACTCTGCTGTCAGATAGTTACATAGAGGTCATGTCATTGAGGGCGTGGTCCAGTTCCTCGCTAATGGCCTTGTACTTCAGTTTCTGGGCATAGAGCTCATCTGGAGGAAAGGCACAGACAGCAACCGAAGAAAATGCAGGGATAGAGGTGAGATGTGACAGGGGTGGAGGAAATGAGGGCATCATCGACAAAGAGAAGAAAAAGAGTGGCTGTGGCACAGGAAGCGCAACTGGGGCAGCAGGAGTGGGCCTGAACTGGAAGCCATTCCTCTGATCCCAAGAGGGACAATTTCTACTTAGATCATCAGGGCTTTTCTTTCCTCTCTCCAACCCAATGTAGAAGTTGGAGTTTGAGGATGGTTATTCTTTTGGGGAGGTTCTTATGCCTGTGGCACTCTGGAGATATCCCATTCACTGAGAAACAAACCCCTGAGAGTGAGCCAAATCAAAATAAGGTACCCTGCCAGTATTTAAAATGCTACTCTAAGGCATATCCACTATCCCTACTATTTTTTTCTGAAGGGATATTCAACAGCTTAACCTTGCCCATAGGGAGAGAATGCACTACTGGTACTTAAGATGCTGCCCAACAGGCACACTCACTCCACTATGCCAGGCATTTTGATGCCTCACCCTCCCAACTTTTCAATAGGGATATCGTACAACCTAACCTGTGGCCACAGTGTTCTCAAGTGTTCCCAAGGCCAGACTGGTTGATCGGTCACTAAGCTATCAAATTAGTGACGGGAAGTACTTAGAAAGCTCTAGTTATTGCTCTGCCTTGGGGTGGAGGGCATAACCACAGTTTCCCTTTTTGGAGGACAGCTAGATGGGGAATTAAAGAAGTCTTGAAAGGTGACTGGGTCACTGAAGCCACTGCAACACATGAAGGGCCTGGTTTCAAATGCCATCCAAGTGCTAGGGGCATACAAAAAGGCTTCAAAGTATAAGGTACCAATCCTGGGGGCAGATTAAATAAGAGAAAGCAAGGTATTTCCCCTCTCTGCAATCATAAGACGGAATGCCACTCAATACAAAGGGCATGTACTGAGTCCCACTGTGTCTCCAGAGAAAGGTGGAGAGGCAGATAATTCTCTGCAGTCTTCAGAAATAGAAGGAATCTGGGGAGCAACATCTCTACCTACTTGCCCTTTACTTCTATCCCTTTTGCTTCATACCTTCCAAGTCATCAATTGTCTTTTCCAGCTTGGCTACCGATCTCTCAGCAAACTCAGCACGGGTCTCTGCCTGGGGAAGATATAAAACTGATCAGAACCAGAGATGGGCAAGTCTGAAATAAAAAGGACCCCCCAGCCCCTTTTCCCATCTAGATACACACCTATGACTGTAATGGCAAAGGAAACTCCCAGTGACAAGACTCCTACTAATGCAAAGGAGGCAATCCATTCTACAACCTCAAGTCTTAGAAAGTTGACCAGGAATTTCCCCCAGGGCACACAGCTAAGGCAGAAGCAGCAATATGCCTTGAACCTGGGTCTTCCTAACTTCATTACCACTCCCTCTCTACTTTTTTTTTGGTGAGGCAATGGGGGTTAAGTGGCTTGCCCAGAGTCACATAGCCTGTAACTGTTTTGTCTGAGGCCGAATTTGAACTCAGATCCTCCTGACTCCAGGGCCAGTGCTCTATCTATTTTGCCACCTAGCTGCCCCGCCCCTCTACTCTTGAGGCCCCAAAGCTAGATGGTTCATGCTAATATGGCTATGTATTACTTTAGTTCTCTATAACAGCTCACCTCTTTGAGTTTATCAGTAAGAATCTTTATCTCCTCCTCATATTTGTCTTCTTTCTGAGAATACTGCAAGAGAATTAAAGTAATAATGATTAGACCAAATTATCCTCATTGGCACTAACCTCCCCCCAAGAGCCAATGGAAATTAGTGCACTTAATGCCTCATGAGGAGAGGGGGAGTGGGTAAGGGGAGTTCTTTTAAAGATCATCTCATGTTCTAATTATCCACAGGCCCGATGTCCCAGGGCCCTTTTGATTGCAAAACTGCATTTTTTGATTGTCCTAAACTTTAAGAAGCTACCTTCTTCCTCTATTCATGAGGAAAGCCAGGGTCAAGATAACCCTTAATACACAGTCATTCACATTGATGTCAAATGAAAAAGTTAGTCCCCTGTACCTCTCACTAGACCTCAAATATGATACTACCTGCAAACCTATTTAGGTCAATGATAACTGCCTGTTTATTAAAAATTACAGGCCTGCCCTTTCATACCCAGAAAGCTATTTTAGACTTTAAAGTTCAGAGGGCATGAAGGTTCACTATCAGCCACCATGATTTGAACAGAGGGGTAGCCAGGAAAAAAAAAAAAAAAAAGAAAAAAAAAGGAGGGTTTCTCTTGCTGGATGCACATGGTAGGGCTGGGCCCAGGCCCCAAGCCTGTCCCTTTCACAAACCAGCCCCTACCTTCTCCGCCTGAGCCTCAAGAGATTTGAGGTTGTTGGTGACATTCTTCAGCTCCTCCTCCAGCTCAGAACACTTACTGTGGATGTTTTAAAGAAGGCAGGAGAGGAAAAGGGAAGAAAACAAAGAGGAGAGAGACACACAGATGTGAATCTATAGGTAGAGAGGGTTGAGAAGTCACCAAGGGAAAGAAGTGCCAAGATAACTCTGAACAGTCCCATTCTTCCCACCCCCACACTACTAGCAGCACAGGGGAAGATTAACCCCTTCTAGGTTGGAACCCAGTATGCTGAAAGACTAATGATGTAAGAGAAGAACCCCTAAAAGACATGCTCCTGACTGGACATTTTTTCAGGAACAAGGCACAGCATTGCCCGGGTGGAGATGGGAGCTGCTGCCCAGCCAACCATCCCTAATCCCCCCAAGAGAAGGACAGGCCCTGTGGAAAGGCAGTAAAGCAGCTAGGAAGGAAGAGGTGAAGGATGCCAAGTCAGTGGGAAAGAATGGAGCATTCCATGAGAGAGATGAGAAGACTAGTCAAACAAACCAGTGGAGGGGAGGCAGCTGCAAAACAAAACAAAACCACAAACACGCACACGCACGCAAGCACACGCACACCCTTTCTATGGGCGCAACAGTTAGTACCTTTTCTTCAGCAGCATTCAGACACTTCAGGTTCTGGTCCATCAGTCTGATCTGCTCATCCATCTCCCGGCAACGGCTGTTAGTGTAGTCACAGGGGAAGGAGGGGAGGGGCAGGATGGCACAAGCCAGATTGTGGGGAGGGAGAAAAGTCAAAAAGAAGCACAGCAAGAATACAAGCAGCAGAGCAAAAGAAAAAAAGGGAAGGAGAAAAAACAAATCACCATGGTCATGACATGCTGTGTCTGGGATACAGGTAGGGGGATGGGTGGGAAGCATAAGTATGCTCATGTTAGGGGTGACTTTGTTATACAAGGCCCAGAAGATGCTAAGACAGAGCAGTAAGTGTCTGTCCTTTCCCTAATTAACAAATATGCCATATAACAATGGCAGCCTCTGTACTCCTCTCCCTCCATGCCACCTAGGACTTGGGAAGGAGAGGGGGACACACAAGAGCAGAATGGTGGCCCCATTTTGAGGCCAGGATGGCAGAGACTCTAGGTTACATGCTTTCCCCACCCATCACTGCATAACTTCTCAATATTCTACACAAAAGTCATTCCACAGCCAAGCCTTCTACAGTCTTCTCTTTGAAGCCCATTTTATTCTTCAAGTAAGTTCCAGACTTCTCCAACCCCAAAGGCCTTGTTTAACAAGATTGAAGGAATGCTGGTTTTTTTCCACATAAGTGACCACAAAAAGGAAAGGTGACCAATGGTTGTGATAAGGTTTTGGAAGTTAGATACTCACGATTCAGCCAGCTCGGCCCGCTCCTCTGTGCGCTCCAAGTCCCCCTCAATGATCACCAACTTGCGGGCCACCTACATACAAAAAGTGCCAGGCCAGAGATCAGTGAAGGAAAGCAAGCGCTCTTGTCCTTCAACATGTTTTGTCTCCCCCTTCCAAAAGGGTTCCAGGGCAGAGCTCTGGCACAGCCAGGAGCAGGTCTCACCTCCTCGTACTTCCTGTCTGCTTCTTCTGCAATGTGTTTGGCCTCTTTCAGTTGGATTTCTTGCAGTTCCATCTTCTCTTCATCTTTCAAGGCCCGATTTTCAATGACCTTCATACCTCTACAAAGAGAACACAGCAAGCAAGGATATATGTGGGAATGAAGCAACAACCTTGAAGATCTCACAAGCCTATGGCTCAAGGAATTGCTTTCTTTTTCATCTAATTTAATCTACCTGTAGGAAGGCAAATATCCAAGTGACAAAGATGAGATAAGAATTAGCTAGGAGAATGTAACTACAAAGGCTGATTGTAACTGGGAGGGACTAACTTGTAGATGCCATAATAAACATAAGTTAACTGCATGAAGACTTTAGAAATTCCAAGGAAGCAGCTGTTTGAAGAGTCAAAGTTCAAAAGCCCTTTCCCCATATGCTATAGCTTATCTAAAGGAAGACTGAGATCAAGAGAGAAGAAAAAGAAAACCTCAAAACTGGATTGAATAACCGAAAAGATTTCTTAGAATGGACAGGTAAGAATTTAAAGAGATCTAGTCAGCAAACCTTTTGTCTACTGAAAGCCACAGAACAAGCACCCAGACTTACCTCTCACTCTCATCAGCTGCCTTCTCTGCTTCCTCTAGCTTCTGTAGAGCAGTCGCCAGGCGCTCCTGAGCACGGTCCAGCTCCTCCTCAACCAGCTGGATCCGACGGTTCAAGGAAGCCACCTCAGCCTCAGCCTAGGTAGAAAGGGACAGAAAAGGGTGGCAGAGCCATAGTAATTGAGCAAGGCCAAATTCTACCCAACTGATTAGAGAGATCTGTATCTGGGACTTAGTATATGCATAAACTCCCTTCACCCCAGCCATGCTCCACGGAACAGGGTTTCAGAAATCAGCTTCTTGCCTAGCAAGTCAGCAACACCCCTTTTTTGGTCCCAATTCAAGTGCGTAAACACAACAGGGCTAGAAAAATGCAGGCAGAGAAGGGTTCTCGGACTGCTCCGAATCTGTCTTAGAGAGGAGAGAATAAGAAATAAGAAACAAGGAGACCTGGTTATGTGCCTGGATTAATCTAGTAATTTGTTTTATGACACCAGAACACCTATTGAACTCTTGACCCATTTCTAAGGACAAATACCAGAGAAAAATTATGATGTGTTCTTCCAAAGTAGCCTCTAGAGTCAGGGCCAAGAGAAGAGATGTCTGGGCCCCAAACCATTCCTGAATATTAACCTCACTCAACCCTTCAACATTTGCTTTCCAAAGCCCTTTAAAGAAAAGAAATAAAAGAAACTTTGGCCTGTCTAAAAGTATCTTTGACATCCAAAAGACCAGGAAAACAGCAGAAGGGAGAAATATGTATGTCTACCCACACATTTGCTTCCTTCCTTAAAGAACCTGTTTCTGAGAAGCCTCTCTTCATATTCTCCCACAACCCCTTAACAAAGCCTACCTACTAATAATTTCACAAGCTTTATCTCAGCCACAATGTAATGTTATAGAAAGAATGCTGAATTTGGAGTTAGTTGGAAAACCTGAATTTGAGTACCAGCTCCACTACATCCCTAAGATCATTATGACAAGAAAGTTACAAATTCTTTGGACCTCAGTTTATCTGCAAAAAATGGGAGATGGACTATCTAGGTGATCTTTAAGATTTAACAGACTAATAAGCTCCTTCCTATATTCACTTTCTAATATGAATAATAAATCATTCCGATTTCTAAGATGCCAACTATTGATGAATGACAGACTAAGGATGCTGAAGTCTTCGATCCATACGTTAGAAACAAGGGGCAGGATGAGAGGAAGATCAGAAAGTAATGAAATTCTAAAAAGATTATGAAATTTGTAATTTTCAAAGCCTCTCAGACTCTTGTCCATACCCTTTAACTAGCTATCAAGCAAAACTCTGGCTGCTACAATAGTATAAGAATTTAATCTACCCTGCACACCATTTAATTCAGATGCTTATCCAAGCACCTGGTAAACATGATCTCCCTTCCGCAGCGCAGCAGGCAATGATTGTGCCTGAATCCTGCTGCCCTGATTTTCTCCCACCGCTACCCCCCTTTTTGGGTGGGTGGGGTTGGAAGAATGTACAGCCAAATACAATTACTCTAAGAGTCAGTCCCTTTGGCATACAAAACTCAAACAAAGGAAGCCAAGAGGAAATCAGGTGGGGAAGACTGCAATGCTAAAATGTGCTAAGCCAGGGGTGGGAAACCTGTGACCAAGGCAGCAGGTTCCCCACCCTGTTAAGCTTGCTAGATAGCAAGGGGTTTATTTATTTTGGGAGGGGGTGTTAAATAATTTTAAGCTGATCATATTTAGCCTGTGGGCCACAAGCTATATGGTCAGGAATTAGAAGTTTGCCCAAATAAATGTCTGAAAATCCATTCTAACCTTAACAGACCATATAAAAATACTTCTAACCCTAATCCATCCAAGGAAGAAATTATCTCCCAGGAAGCACATCTTTCTTGGAGGACCTTGCAAGGCCTGACTAGATAAAGTTCAGGAAGTCAGGTTTATTGTAGAGAGTTTGTGAAATACCCGCAACATAATTATTGTTTTCTAGATAACAAGAGATTCCAAACCAAGAACTGAAGCAGGTATTGGGGACAGCTGAGGAGAGCATCAGGCATTTCACTAGATGGAAGGGAGGTTCCTCCCATTCTGCAGCAGGAGAAATCAGACTATGGGGGTGGAGAGAGGTATACAGGTTTCCATGACAACAAGCTAGCTTGGGCGGTTTCTCTCACAAACCCAGCATTTACAATAACATTCTTTGCAAGAGGAGAGAGGGAGGGAGAGGGAGAGGGAGAGAAGAAAACAGTGATTCTTACACATGACAAAGGTAGGCAAAATCCAAGATAGGAAATCTCAGTAATCTCTTCAGAGACAACTCCAAACCTCGTTCTTATGGACTGTTGCTCTTCTGAGAATGGGCAATTGAATCAAGATCTGGTCTTTGGTTTGAGATTAGGAGTACCCCGATTTTCAGTCAGGCCAGGACCCAAGAAAGGAGGGAAAGAGGAGTGGAAGAGAGCTGTAGACTGACTGTCAAAAGATCTGGTCCAAGTCCTCTAACTTTATCACTTAGCTGTACACCCTTAGAGACAGTCACTTCCCTACTCTAGGCTTCAATTTCCTCAACCATAAAAGGAGGGAAACAGACTAGACTTAAGATTTTGGTTTAAACCTTCCACCTTTAACATGTCACTATTTTATCATCTCACATCAAGAGAAGAAATCTCATGAGCTGGACCAACTGCCTCCTAGGGATGGTGAGATAGATGGAGAAAATATTAAGTATAAGCCCTTATATACAATGGAATAGAAAACACTGAGTTCTGGATCTGTAGCCACTAGAATTATACAGAACGGGAATAACTGTCTAACTCTTCAGCACGGTGCCTTGCACACAGCAGGTGCTTAATAGATGCTTGTTCTTTTCCCTTCCACTCCCAGATATGGATCTGACCTTTTGGATTTAGTGACTCCCCCCCACCCCCCACAACTAGATTAGTTCAGTTAATTTTTCCCGATCCACTAAATCTACAACACTCCTAAAGAGGAGGCCCAGGTGGTCACAAGTGGCTCTAAGATGGTGACCACCAGCCCAAGCCACTGAAGCCAACTCATGTTACGTCCTTCACAATCCACCAACACCACCAAAATCAGCTTCATGCAAACTAGATTCCACTTAGACCTAAATCAGGAGACTGCTTTGCCCAAACAATTGATGCCCCTAAAGTCGGGATAAAGACAAGGAGGGAATTAGTCCAAACCTGGCACTCTGCCACTGTGTATTCTCTCTTTTTAAAGCAAAGTCACAAACATTCAAAAGGAAAGAATAATAGAAGTTATGCAGGAGCCCCAAGTGAAGGAAGAATTTAGTATTGGTGCCTTTATTGTGTTCATGTTTATCTACTAAGGGAGATATGTGTGCCCTTGAGGAATTTAACTTTCTATTTTGGGGGGCAGGGAGGAAAAGGATGAAGTACTAGGCCCTAGGGTAAACAAAGGTAGAAGCAAGGCTAAGGCAATAAGAGCAAAGGGCTCTTGGCCCCTCCCCAAAGTGTACTTATGGGTTTAAAAAGGCCAGAGCTGTATCTGGGCTCACCTGGCCCCACAGAGAATCTGCCATATAATATTGTCTAGCACCATTCCAAGGCCCGGAATCTAAGATTTAGGCCAGTTTTTGGTATGTGCTGTTGAAGAGTCCATGAACCCCCTTCAATAGAACTCCTCTAGAAAGGCAGACAATAACGAAACAAACTCTCAAAACCCACCAGGGTAGCAGTAGGGGCAAAACACAAAAGAGTAGACAAGCTTTCATATATATCACCTTGTTTCCATTAAGGCAGTGCTATAATGTTAAATCTAAAATTGAAAGTATTATTTCCAGGATGCCTTCATTAGGAAGGTTAATCACCAACAGACACACCAATGACCCTAGGATCACATCACTAAACTGCTTCCTCACTCCTTCCCTACCTAACTAGACGCTGGCTCTAGTAGTCCAGATAAAATGAGCAGCCAAAGTCAAAAGAAAAAAAAAGAGAAAATTTAAGTGACAATTCCTGTAACAACTTGAGTGTGGTATGGGAGTGGAGAAGTCAGCCTACAAATCAATACTCCAGGATGTTCTAGAAAAGGTAATAAAAGGACCCAGCTCCATTCCCTTCCCCAGAGGAAGGGAAGACAGAGTAAAAAGGTAATTATTGGATTCCCCTGAGCTGGAGAGGGGGAAGACTCTCATTACACAGGGACATTAGCCTACTTCCCCTTTTTGAATACTTCCTCACTAGTCCTCAGGGCAATAATCGGGTTTGGCAGGCTCCCCTTGATTGAGAAGCATTAATCTACAGCTACTCCCTTAAGCACTCAAGACACCAACATTAGTCCCGAAATAGGTTAAAAAAAAAAAAGCTACATTAAAGCAGCTCAATTTATTCAGAGACCAATAGGAAGAAATTAATCTATGAGATATCTATGGGATCATGAACAATGGTACTTTTCAACAGTATCTATTCAAGATCTCCTTCCAAGAAAATGGAGTTCAAGATAATTTATCAATAGAAGTTCCAACACTGGGTGGGGTGGGAAGGTCCACCATCCACTAATTTAAGGCTAGAGTTAGCAAATAAAGGGAGAAAAGGTGGAATACTACCAATCAAAGATGAATGCCACCTAGCCACAGCTCAGAGTACTAAATTGCTTGTTAAGATTATAATAATATTAAGTCTATTAATAAGATTATTAACTCTTAGTAGTGTAAGTGCTTCAGATTTCTGCTAAGTACCTGGTTTAATGTCCAGCTCCACCATCACCCCCTCCCTTCAACTTGCTCTTTTTTTAATTCCACTTTCCAAAACCATAAGCTCAGAGTTGGGGAGTCCCCCAACCCAGAAACCAGAGAAGTAAAGGCTGACCCTGGGGAAGAGGAACCAAAATCAATAATGAAAACATGGATTTTCTCTCCAGCTACATATTTCATCAAGTATTAAAACTATTAGGCCAATTACCTTCTCAATCCCTCTACCACCTATTATTTCCCACCAGACACCAGTACATCATCTGTCTTGCCAAGTGCTACTCTTTATGCTATCCCTATCCCCTCCTTGACCACTTCTAAGGAGAAAGCACTTTCACAAAGCTTACCAATAGCCTTCCTAGAATATTCCAATACATATTTGATACTTTCAAGGTCCCAAACCACTCTCTGTAGGAGCACCAAAGGAATAAGGATTCCAAAATGAAATAAGTAGACCCACAATTCATATCCAGTAGTTCATCAGATCTGAATAACCTGTTACTATATTGCTCATGTCACCAGAATTCCGAGCAGAAGCTGGCAGCCCATATGATGCCCCTCTGCACACACATACATGCTTACCAGTTCAGTATGGAGGAAGTGTTCTCAACAAGTTCAACGGGCACTCATCTTGCTTCAGAAACAAAGACTTGACATTGGCAGAGGTTCCTGCCTCCTAAGCTAAACAAGCTCCCACATTGACATCAACAAGAGAAAGGAGGTTGAACCCCTGGTTCCCCTCCTGCCTCAGATTTGTCCCGGGTAAGGGAAGGAGGGAGGGGGGGGCGGGACTGGGGGGAAAGGACCTTAGCAGAGAGAATAGGATGGGAGGCGTTGCAAGCCCCATCCTCTTGTGGGGGGAGAGCGGGGTACCGCATTTCCTCTCAACCGAACTGCTGCCTCATTTCCTGAACAGGCGGGGGGAGCGGAAAGACTGCCAGCAGCCTCGGCTGGGGGCTTTCCTGCCTCCCTTCGTTCTGACACCCCGAAACCCTGCCACGCGGCTTTGAGCCCTGCCCACCGCTTACCCTCCAGGAAACCACTCGGGGGCTTTGCCTTCCAGCCCTCAGTCTCCTCTCAAGCAAAGGGAGGGAGGGAGTAGAAAAGCCCCTCCCCCGACCGCGCCCCAGCTTCTCCGGAATGAATGAATGAGTCTGGACTGGAGTGGGGGCTGGGGAGAAGCCACACCCCGGCCCCGGTACGGCCGTGCAACCCCTCCTGGTGCTCCGGAGATGGACGACTCCTACTCAGGCGGCCCCGCCTGTCCACTCTTGGGACCCAGTTCACCGCCCTCCTCGACCGGATTCTGCCCAATGTTGGTTCCCCTCAAGCTAGATGCCAACCCCCAGCTGGACGGCCCCTTCAGGTCTCGGCGTAGTGACTTTCCAAGTCCGGGGTCCCATGTCCCTCCAAGCCCCCGGCCCAGCCCCGCCCCGGCCAGGCCTGTCTAGGTACCTGTTCCCGGGCCCGCTTCTCCCCCTCCACCTCCCGCTGGAGACGCTCGGCCCTCTCCTCGGCGTCATCGGCCTGCTGCTGCAGAACCTGAATCTTGCGCTTCACCGCCTCGATGGTGGTGATACCAGCCATGGTGCCCGCCCCGTTCCGGCTCCTGCTCCGGCTGCTGCCTCCTCCGCTCGGTGCTGCTGCCGCTTCTCAGCCCTACTTCCGCCTGCTCCGCCCTGAAATACCGGAACTCACCCACTCCGTCCGGATGTGACGACTGCCTAGCTCCCCTTCTCCCCTCCCTCCGCCAACCAGGCTGGACGGCAAGCGGCCTAGGAGGGAGACGGGTTGGGGAGCGAGGGGCGGGGCTTGTGTGTGGACCCCCGAAGACTGACTAGAAGACTGACTGCCCCCTCGACCGCCCCACCCGTCTCCTGCCGTGAGCGGGAGGGGGCCGCTGCCATGGTAACCAGAAGGCGCGGCCCAGTCCGAGCCTCTCGGGCCTGGCGGGCTTCTAACAATGGCCGGACCCGCCACGCGCACTCGTCTGAAGCTCCAGTGACGCTCCACAAAGCTGCCCGCCCCCCTCGACCCCTCCCAGCCAACTCGCCACCCCAGGTCAGCCGGGAGCCCCTTGATTCCAGCTGAGTCCTAACAAAAGGTGTCCATCCCTCCTCTTTCCCGGCATCTCGGGAGAGTCGCCGACAGCCCCCGGGAAGGAGGCGACGATCCGCTCTCTGGGTATCCCAGTCGGACTCCGGCCCTGCCCTGGGTAGCTCCTGACCGACCATAGCTGCTCTGGCCGGGAAGACCCAAGCTGCAATGAGAGAAAGTCTCCAAAGCCCCGGGTGCCCCGAGGGATGGACGGATCGACAAGGGAGGACTTGCCTACCCTGCTGTGTATGAGAAACACTTTGTAAACCTTAAAGGACGATAGAAATGTTAGCACCTTGTACTCACCACGTATAAAACTACAGGCTCCAAGCGGAGTTACTCACTCGTAATCATTACTGTCCTTGTGGTTAATGTTAGACGTCCAAGCCTCTACCCAGAGCACGGAGGGGCGGAGAGAAGCGGAGCTGTCCCAACAAACTGGCCTGCCTGCCCCCTCCTGCTCCTGGAAACTGCAGGACTCGGACATCCTCCCTAGCACTCAGTCCCTTAGCAGGTGAGGAAGGCATCCCACTGCTCTCAGGGACGAGCCCTGCTCTGTGCACATGCTGTGGCTTTGCACCGGACTTGGGAGGTAGCACGGATGGATAAACAACTGTTCTCAGAGTTTAAGCCCAACTGAGCGAGGAAGGGGGTGGTTTCCCTGTTTCAGAAACTCTCACTGCATTGACAACCACATTCATTACCAACTTCACTACCGCCTTGGTTTCCAGTTACATCAGGAGACATATTTACAGACTGAAACAGACTCACAGGGCCACCCGTGATAGGATTCTGAGAGACACTGAGAGATTCTGAGCAAAGAAAACTCAGAATTGGGTACATCTTATGAGCTCCCTCTTTTGATGACCAGGGGGAGTGATTATTCTTTAGTTTCCTTAGCTTTGTCTCTTGATCTTCTTGCCAGGTTGGGTGTCTGAGGACCTACATTGAAGACAACATTTTAGACGGAAAAAAAGAAATCTAGCCTGAACTTCAAACTAGCCTTTTAGTTTCAGTCTTCTTGAGAGGCCTTTCACAGCTACTTTTTCTAAGTTATATCATGTTAAAGCTAAGGATGTTTAAACATCCCAGACAGCTCTTTCCAAGAAAGTATAAATTGCCCTCCTCTTTCTGTTTTTCTTTTCCTACTTACTAACAGTTCTGAATTCTTTCTCACTGTCTCAGAAGCCCTAAGGTTTTTTGCCCTTTGCTTGTCCTACTAAGTTAAAATGAAACAGATACAAACAGCCTAGAAGTCCTAACCGCTGAGGTTGGCAGAAGACATGATACATACCTGTTTCTTCAGGTACTGGGTTCTTAGCATATCCCAAGAATGGTTTCTCAGAAGGCTAGTTTTCCCCTTTCCTGCAAGTGGAACTATTCCAGAAGACAGTTGGGCATTTGCCCAGTCCTCCTGAGTGGTAGCCTGTCCTTTTATATTTCTTCCAGGGCAGGGATGGAACAACAATGGGCTGAGATTCAGTAGTGATCTGAATTACAGGAAACCCTAACTAGTCCTGGGAATTATCCATCCTGTATCACCTGCTTCCTTGGTATAAAGTATCTTTGGAAGCAGATAATGAGGTAATTTACATCAATTATAGTTTATGATTGAATGCTTGAATTTCTTCTGTGGTTTATGGTTAAATTTCTTATTTTATGTGTTTGATAGTGGTTATACTAAATTTGTAATAATTTTAAGATAATGTGCCAGTCAGCAGGGGGCACTGTTGCTCTTTTTTTAAAAACTTTTTCAAGGCCAGGGTAAACAAAAAAAAAAAAAATCCTTTTTTATCATGGACAGACTAGGATTGTGTTGAGAAGCCCTTGATACCGCCTTAGGATCACTGCATTCTTTAGGCCCAAATATTTAAACAGATAATCTCCACTTAATCCGGAGGAACAGGTGAGCTGACACCTTATAGCCCTTAAAAGTATGATGGACGGAATTGCTAAGGAGTCATGTGCTATTATTTTCCTGGAGACCAACAATACATTGGCAGGTGCCAATATAGACCCAGAATCTCCCCCAACCCTTCAATTCTCCTTCTCATTCTTTACTCCCTGCATAACAGTGCTATAACATTTTGCCCCTAAACCATGTTCCCTTCTACTAGTTCTCACTGAAAAATTGCTGCTTTTATCTCTATGCAAAGAACCAAGTCAAGGAAATACATAAGGTTTGAGACTGACCTCCCCAAACCTTTACTTTACTCTTCCTTTGTCAAAGGAGCTCCTGAAAATCCTACTTTTTCCAGCAACGCTTTCCAAGACAACTAAAACCCCTTATTACTTAAACATATAATTCCTATAAAAGTTTCCTGCTTCCCTCATTTTCTCTACCACAACTTCTATTTCAACAACTCCTTTGCCCCCTGAGTGGACATAATATTTTCATTGATAAGTTATTAAGCCATATTCTTTGGTCTTTGCCTATTCAACTTTTCTTTCTTCTTTACATAATCCCTCAGTAGGCAGGGATTAAGCTTTTAACTCTTTCTTTGTATAGGGCTGGATAGATTGCTCCAAAAAGCTAGGTAGTACCACTAGTGGATAAGAGTACTGGGCCTGAAGTCAGGAAGACTCATCTTCCTGAGTTCAAATCTGGCCTCAGATACTTATTAGCTGTGTGACCCTGGGCTGGTCACTTCACCCTATTTGCCTCATTTTCCTCATCTGTAAAATGAACTGGAGAAGGAAATGGCAAACTGCTCCAATATCTTTGCCAAGAAAACCCTAAATGGGCAACTCAACAACAAAAATAAATCATAGGATCATAAATCTAGAACTGGAAAGGATCTTTGAAGATCAACCTCTTCATTTTACAGATGAGGAAACTCAGGTCTAGAAAAGTTACATGACTTACCCAAAGTCACATACTACCAAAGCTAGGATTCAAATTCTCAAGTGCTGGGATTCAAAGTTCAACAATTTTTCCACAGTACTACACTGCCTTTCATGAAGAGCTGACCCCATAGCCTGTTTCCTCTTACTCAATCTCTCATCTTTCTCCATTACCAATAACTGAACATCAAGCCAACCCCTTCACCTCCCTATCCCTCCTTGGGTTGCAAGGTGCCTTTTCTCTTCTGTGCAGCCCAATTTCAGACTCTCCCATTTTGCACCTAATCTACTTCTCTTTCACTTGACCTCTCTGGCTTTCAGTTTCTTTATCTGTAAAATGAGGAGGTTGGACTAGATAATCTGTCAGGTCCCTTCTCTGTTCCAAATCTGTGATCCTTCCTCTTTTGTTTCTCAGCCTAATCTCTAAGAATGCCTGTTGGAAAGAAGAGGTAGAGGCTAATAATGTATGTCTGGATTACAGTGCAGCCATGCTCAGTTTGATCACTGAGAGAGTCTTATGTGGTATATATAGTGGAAAGAGAACTGGTCTTAAAACTGGGAGAGCCAGATCTTCCACTTAATGGCTGTGTCACCTTGAGCTAGCAATTAAATATCTCTGAGTCTTACTTTCCTCCCGTGTAAAATAAAGGTAATACTTTCCCTACCACATAGAATTGTTATAAGAGTCAACAAATAGTGTAGCATGGAGCAACATATAACCAGGAGTTATTATTTCTGTTACCTTTTGTGGGTCTATATCAGTATAGGGAGATTTATTTGTTATGAGGGTCAAATGAGAGTGTGAAATGCTTTATAAACTTTAAAGAGCTATATAAAATAAGTTCTGATGATGATAGTACCTCATAGGCCAGTGGATGGCATTATGTGTGCATGTATAATCTAAAGGAGGAGGACAGAAATAATTGATTTCTGGAAATTTTCATAACTTCTCTAAGACTATTAGCTTGAATATCTGTGCCCCACTGTGCAAATCTCATATTACTTAAATTTGCTCTTCCCCAAATACACAATCCTAATAATCTTGCCACCAAGCCAGCCATTCCTGCCATGAACCTCAAACCTAGAGTTCTCTGATATACCAAATTTCTTCCAAAAGACTTATTACTTCAAGAGATGCAGTTTCCTATATTCCCAAGAATGGTACTAAACCTGTTTTGGTATTAGTATCTCAGCAGTCCCTAATCCCTTCCACATGACAGTCTGTAGGAACCAAATAGAAAGTTCCCCAGAATTGCCCAGAGTAGAGTAATCCTCAAGAACATTCGATGTCCAGAGAGCCTCTGCCATGGTCAATAGTTTTTTTAATCTTTTTAGAAAGGGAGGAAATAGCAGCATCCTTAGCTCTTAGAAACTGCTCCATGGCCTGGTATCTTGGAGTTATATTTCTCTTGGAGGCAAGTTTAGGCTTGATTACAGGAAAAAAAAAATTTTCACACTTAGAGCTGTCCCATAATAGCTGTAGAATGGGCTACTTTGAGGGGTTGGTGACTTCCCTCTCCTTGGAGGTCTTCAAGCAGAAGTATTCTAGAGTGTGGATTCTTCTCAGGAATGGGTTGGACTTGATGGCTACCAAGGTCTCTTCCACGTCTTAGTTTCTGTAATTATGTGCTGCTTTTTTTTCTTAGAAGGGTTTACATAGTGAGATTT